TCCCTCTCTCTCACCCATAGGAAGAAGGCAATGGCAAACCCCTTCTGAAATCTTGCCAAGAAAACTGCAAGGACTAGTCCAGGCAGTCGCCAGGAGTCAACATTGGCTCGAAAGCAGCAGCAGCAGCAACAAAAATGAGTTGCACTCACATGCACCAGAAGAGCCCAATAGCACAGTCTAGAGCAGTGTTTCTCAACCTTGGCAGCTTTCAGATGGGTGAACTCTAACTCCCAGAATTCCCCAGCCAGCCATGCTGGGTGTTGGAGTCCACCCATCTGAAAGCTCCCAAGGTTGAGAAACATTGCTCTAGAGTGCTACTATACCATGGCATAGTTGTCAAGGCATAACCCTAGGACCAAGGAGGTCCAATATCAAATCTGGCTTCTACCATGGAAGCTTAGGGGGTGACTTTAGGCTATTTTCCATGTCTATCTAACAGGGTTGTTGTAAAGATAAAATGAAGGGAGATCTCAATTTTGCTTCTTTAAAAGTAGGTGGGGTTAGGAGGTATTGTTATTATTGCTGCTTTTGCACCTTTAACAGCAACCTATTGCATAGGAAGAGAGGCAATGCATTCTTTTACCACTTGATCTGTGCCTAGAAAAGTGCTTCCCTACTAAATTTCCACATAAAGCTGCTTCTGATAAAAGCACAGCATTGGACCAAGGGGGGACAATGACACAAATGCCAGACTGCAAAGCAACAAATGTGGTCAAGGAACATCCATTTGTGATTAGAAGTCAATGAAGTGTCTTCTATACTAGGAAAATGTTTTCCCAGCCCCTAGCCTATCAGCTATATTTTGAAACAACTGATGTTGATTTCTCAGCAGTCTTCAAAGGCTACTTAATGGACAACGTGTCATGATGCTAGTTGTTCTCAGAAGATAACAAGAATGCTGGATAACTTACCTTTCTTCAAGACAGGCCATAGGTAGCATACCAGCTAAGCCTGGGCCGCTCAAAACTGGCTTGTTCCCTAGCTAGGATTTTCCCCAGCCACATCCTAGAATTCAGTGGTACGTTCACAAGATCACAGTCAGAACTGTCTAATTGCTTAAGATTACACTGCAGTTACCTAGATAATCTTGTTGAAACCAAGAGTGCTTATTCTCCATAAAGATTTGCAGGATTCACATCTTGGACACCTCAGCAAGCTTACCAGGTTGCCCTTTCTGGATAAACTGGGACTGCAACTCCCAGGACTCTCAACCCGAAGGGAAATTCAGATTAACCAATGGCTTCAGAATTGAGCGGGTTGCATCCCCAGGCTGCTGGAGGGCGCCAGCTTGAGAAAGGCTGATCCAAAGATCAAATGCCCACTGGCCACCTGGGCATGGAAGGAAAGTACTTTTGGTAAAGGGGCAACAAGCTTAGCCCAAATTGGGGATTGGCGAGTGCTCAGAAAGCTTCTACCTCTTTGGATATATGGATACAGAAAGCCATGCTTCTACTCTTCCCTGCTACTAGTCTGTGCTTCCCATGCACCTCTCAGCTGCTCTAGTAGTAGAAATGCTCAGCGCAGGATTCCATAGACTCTGGGAGTTAAGATTCATTTAAATTGGGAACCAAAAATAACTCTCTTGCTTTAAGGGCCATATTAAAGGTCACAAGTTAGCTAAGTATAGCTGTCACCAAGTTGCTCCTATATATAAACTACTCGGGAGCTCTGAAAATGACCATCTATTAAAGAGATTGTATTGGCAGGAATCAGGTACAGAACTTAAGAGGCAGGATGTATTTTTCCTCTGGAATTCACTGCCACAAGAACACGGGGAAAACCACTAACAGAAATTGCTTTCTGAAAAAATTAAAATAAATACCTGGACAAGGAATGACTGCCAGCCAGACCATGACACTCAGAAAAGTAACATTCCTTTTTAGTAGCAATGTATTTTTAGTGATCAAATACTGAGGATTAGCAAGAGGAGGGTATCAGCAATTTGTCTGCTTGGAAACTTCTTAGGTTAGACAGTAAGCCACAGTCAGAATAGCGGCAGGTAATTCTGTCAAGTTCATTTGTCCCAGATTTATTACTTTACCAGCCCTTCCCTCCCTCCCTCCCTCCCTCCCTCCCTCTCTCTCTCACACACACACACACACACATGAACAACGTAAATCAATGCAGTTTTGCATAGACTGTTCCTAACGTATGAATTTCTGTACACGCTTTTGTTTTTAAATGCAAATATTTTTCCTGTAGTAAAATGCTTCTTTTGTGCACACTTTTAACTAATACACACTTGGGGGGGGGGGTCTTTTTTGAGTATGATCCATGTTAAAAGTTTGCTGTGCACTTGCATTTCATGCTTGTCTTGGAAGAGCTAAAAAAGAAATACTGACCTAAAAAATTCTGATGGACCAAATTTTCCATCCCTTTGTCAGAAAGTACATTTCTAGACAATGCTAACAAGAGTGACCGTTACTCTCGCTAATACTAAGTTCAGCAGATGAATGTCCATTGAAGCCAAAATATGATGGGCACTCCAGTGTTGATCTCTTGAATGGGTGGCACTGCCCCCAAGGAAGAATGTCCATGACTTGGGGGTCTTCCACACTCACATCTACTGCTGGATGGGCAGGTGGAGGCCATGGCCAGAACCGCCCTTGCCCAGCTTCCATTAGTTCACCAGTTGTAGGCCTACCTGGAGCAGGAGGACCTTGCAGTAGTAACTCACTCTCTCACCACTATCTGGTTGAACTACTGCAGTACATTTTAACATGGCACTGCCTTCAAAGACCGCTCAGAAATTGCACTTGATACAAAATGCAGCAGTCCGCATGTTAACTGGCACTTGATGCCATAAACACAGTACACTTGTGTACTGTCTCCTTCAGCCAAAAGCAAGCCATCCAATACGGACTATGTAAATGATTGAATCCTTGCTGATAGACATCTGGGGCCTTCACACAGCAGTCTACGTACTGGACTCTAGTCTTTAAAAGCTTATAGCATAATGTGATCCTTCCTGAAAGGAAAACTAGTTCCCCACCCCCGTAATTTGCCTTTAAAATAGAGGCATCATCATTAAAATTTTAGCAATGGCAGCCTTGATTTAAGGTCACCTTAAATTAAGGACCCCCTTCCCTTTTTTTGAGGGCTAGAGTGGGCAAGGTTAGAAGCAAGGAGATAGAGATCAAAGCAGGTCTCTCACAGTAACAGTGCTTAGACATCAATTGCAGAAATGAATGGATCTCTGGGTGTCACAACGCGCAGGCAGGAGATAAAGACCTACAGCTAAACCTTGGTCTGCCATATATATGGCTTGAGTCTTACAGTTGTCTTTGTTATTAACAGCTTCTCTAGTATCTGCAATAACACTCTCTTATCAAAAACTGGGTCCATAAATCTCTGCCTGTGAGGCTTCAAGTTCATGTATGGGTTTGAGTGAGGCCCACTGTTTTTGAATAAACATGGTAAATGCAGAAATTTGGTTGTATTTAGGTTGCTCTAAAAGATTTCAACAGCAGGAGGAAATGCATCGCTCCTGAAGAGGACATATTGTACTTTTTACATAAAAATGCAATTGGGGCAGGGGCTACAATTTTTAACACTAATACAGTATGTCTCAGCACAGTGAAGGGTTGCCATCAGGGGATCCAAGTGTCTGCTGCTTCTCTCCTCTCCTTCATCTTCCCACAGTTGCTTATTTTCAAATTGGGCTTGGATTTGAGAGTCCTTCAACTGTCTGGCTAAATGTCAAGTTTTGCTAAAGACGTAACAGTTTCCAAAGACATTATGTGGAAATACACAGTATGTGGGTTGTGTTTGTTGCCCAATTACAGATGCTGAATTGTCTGGACCTTGTGCCTGTTCTTGTAATAGTTGCAATCAAATACATCAATGAACATGATGACAGATCCAAACACAGTTTGAAAATGTTCTTTCTTGTTTTTCCCATCTAGAAAGGGAATCCCGGGAGCATGAAGAACCAACCACTTCTGAGATGGCAGAGGAGACATATTCATCCAAACTGTATAGAAACAAGGGGCTTGGGCGCTTCTCTGAGCTAAAGGCAGAGGCAGTGAAGAAAGACCGCAGGAAGAAGATGACTTTGTCTAAGATTGTGGGTGGAGCAGAAAATACTGCACACCCTCGAGTTGTTGCTCCTGAGCTAAGACCAGAATTCGAATTGGTAAGAGCAGCCCTTCCTAGACCTCTAAGACAGATATGTTCCTTTCTCTAGATCTTTCTCTCTTGTCTGTCTCTCTCACATATTCTTGCTACCTTTACTTTGAGTAGAGGCCATTACACAGAGGAGCTTGGAACGCTCTGTGGGAGACATAAGCTGGTGTGCACCCAGCGAGACAGCATTAAAAGCTCAACATTGAGTGGGAAAACAGTATCCAGAACTGTTTTGGGGCCAGTATTGTTCAACATTTTTATTAATGACCTGGATAATAGGATTGGTGGGCTGCTTATCAAATTTGTGGATGACACAAAATTGGGAGGTCTGGCTAATATCAGAACAAAAGCAACATTTTGGCCAATGCCAGAATGACAGAACAAGATTGCAGTCTAATTTGGAAAGTGGGAAGACTGGGCTGAGAGGAGCATCTGGTCTTTTAACAAGAAGAAATGTAAGCTATTACATTTAGAGAGAGAAAATAGGGGATGTGTATACAAGATAGAAGATTCATGGCTTGGAAACATTACATCTGAGAATGATATGGATGTGGTCATTGACAACAAGCTGAACATGAATTAGCAGGGATTCCATTTTCTCCTGACGTTTTCACTTCAAAAGTTTTTTGTTTCATTTTTCTCTATTTGCTTCCATTGTTTCCATTGGCTTAAGTGGGAGAACCAACCAGGGTTCTAACTGGCACTCCTAGATATCTCTTCCATCCAAACAATGGATTTCCAAACTTCTCTGATGCTATCAGACCTACCAGATTTCAGATGAAAATTCCCATTTTATAGATGCACATCAGTTTGAGGGCTTTCTCTTTCTCTCTTCCTCTCTCCAATAACCTTTCTATAATCTGGACAGACATTATCAGAAGGTTTCTGTAATTTTGTTCCTGCTAAAAATGCTGAAATATGAACTCAAATTGGATTTTCATTTGGAGGAATTTGTTTGGATCCCCATGATTTCATAACTTAAACCGATGGAGCTCATTGATCATATTTGCAGTAGACACATGAGGCTGTTACTGCTTATATGACAAAGAAGCAATCATCATCTTTCAACAAATTTGGAAAAGGCAATAGAGCAGGTGGCATACTGTGGCTAGGAGGGCCTTTGCACAGGTTCATTTTTTATGCCAGTTGCGTCCTTTCCTAGATCGGGAGGCCCTTCAGACAGTTACTCATGCCTTGGTCACCTCACAACTGGATTATTGCAATGTGCTCTACACGGGGCTGCCCTTGAAGACAACCCGGAAGTTACAGCTGGTTCAAAATGCAATGGCCTGAGCAGTAATGGGTGCCTCTTGGTGTGCCCATATGTCACCACTGCTGTGTGAGCTGCATTGGCTGCCAATTGGCTTCTGAGTGTAATTCAAGGTGCTGGTTATTACCTACAAAGCCCTGTATGGCATAGGGCCTGGATATGTGAGAGACTGCTTATCTGCAATCATTTCTGCCTGCCCAGTGCATTCCAGCAGAGTGGGTGAGCTCCAGATCCCCTCCATTAAACATTGCCACCTTGTGGGACCTAGGAAGCGTGCCTTCCCTGCTGCAGCCCCCCCCCCACCACAACAGCATTCACACCCCCCCCCCCCCCCCCCCCC